AATTTTAAACAATAAAAATATATATATATATATATATATATATATATATATATATATATATATAAAATATATATATAATAAATAGATTTATTTTTAATCCAAAAATTTATAACTTAAAATGTTATTTTTAGTGGATACCAGTGTTTGAAATAGATGTCCCATTTTTATTTTAAACAGTGTGTATTACTTCTATTAGCCTGCACTCAAGAAATTTTAATAAAGAAAATATACCCTCCAGCATTGTTTGAACATGTGACCCATTTACAGAGGAAACCTCCATTTGATCAAACGTGCATTAGAAAACTCAGTCAAGGAGAGTGTAACAAGGTTCTATTTTCCCTTTTAAGAAATACACACTTCCTTGTTTAGATTTTTCTTGAAAGCCTATATGTGCTAATTTTTTTTCAATTGGTATCACCCCATACAAGGAAGTAAAGCCACTAATATATATGGAGTTATAGAGTGTTGAAGAATTAGAAACAGAAACATTAATAATGAGTGGGAACAGGAAAGAGTAATCAGGATGACAGTCGATAACGATTGACATTGCATTTAAATCTTTGCAGATTAAAGTTGGCTGAAAAGCATGTAGCCAGAAATTTCACAAGCGAGAAGTGTGAAAAATTATCTGCCTAATAATATACTCAGATCATTTGTAAACATCTATACCCATGTTACAACTATATATATTTGTACCACTAAAATTCTCCATAGTCAGTCAGAGATTGGTGACTGATCTCTCTTCCAATCTTGCATAAACTACACAATGGGATAAAAACTGGCTGGTTACATTCAATGCTTCAAAAAACAAAACAAATTAAATTCCATCATTTCAGATCTGACCCCGAACTATCATCAATCAGGATGAACAGAGATTTTCTCAGGGAAGCACCATGCCTTGAAAGACTCAAACTCACACCCAACCTCAAGTAGAACTTATACATATCATCCATTAGTAAGGATTCAGGTAAAATGGTCAGCTCCCTGTACCACTCCAGTAAGTACCTGACTCTTGCTAGCCTCTATGTTTACAAGAGCCAGATTAGGCCAAAAATAGAGTACTGTTATCATATTTGGGTACTGTTAAAGCACTTAAATGAAAAAAGTCTAGGTACCATAGTGAAGAGCATATCCAAAAAATTACTATGAAAGTATTTACAAAAAAGGCATAGTGAGGCAACCTTACAGTGGTGGGAAAGTGATTAAAGCTGAGTTGCCAAATCAGAGCTAATAATAATGCTGATTTTTCTTTGGATCTTATTATTATTATTATTATTTGGATCACTTTGTAGGAGAAACTACCATTTTATACAGCTTTAGTCCGCTCATCTATTTCAAATATGGAAATCCGCTAAAAATAATGTTTGAAGTAATACATATATATATATATATATATATATATATATATATATATATATATATATATACAGTGGAGAAAATAAGTATTTCATCACCTGCTGTATATTCTATCTCTCACTTTCAAGATGGACTTACCATGAAAATTATAGACTGTTCCCATTTTTGTAAAGTAGCAAACTCAGAAAATCAGCAGGGGATGAAATACTTATTTTCCCAACTGTATATGAAAGGATTCTTGTGTCGTGAGTCAACGCATAAGTATTCCATCGACACATTACCAATGAGCTCTTTTGTGAGAGTAGAAGATTCATCTATTGTCATAGAATGGTCTGCATCTGAAATTTATTTAAGTGAGAAAGGTTTGTGCATTCCCAGTCCCACTCTCTTGTCCAAGGCCCGCCATTTGCTTTTTTCGTACAAAGGCTGCCACAGGATAAGCAATGTGCAAAGATGCAGGTTATATTTCAGAGTGACCTTCCTCTAGATAGGTTGCATTGCAAGGCTCCAGAGCCCCTATCAGCTCATCAAGATTTGCCTCCCTGCAGATTTTGAATTCAAAGTTTTCCTTCTCCGAGACCAGTTGTCACCAAGGCGAAAGAACCCAGTCTGTTCTGCTATTTGCCCATAGCTGGTGGGAGAAGAAGAGGATTCATACCTTTTCCAAGGGTCTTAATATATATATATATATATATATATATATATATATATATATATAATACAGGAAATAAATCTGTTGGTATATAAGTGGATCCTAGTAATATAAAATATTAAAAGTGATCTGCAGAAAGAGCTCAATGTATTTATTATAACAGAACTAATAAATAGTATTACACAACAAAATCCAAAATTATCTCATATGGCAAGGGATAGATCTGTTTCAACCAACGACAACTATGTCAGTCTTATTCAACCCCAGTGTATATACCGAGTCAAAGTTAAATTTCTAATTCCGACACAAACTCAGTCTATACACCAGGGTTGAATAAGACTGACATAGTTTTCATCAGTTGAAATAGAAATACCCCCACCCAATATAAGGTAATTTTGGATTTTGTTGTGTAATCGTCAGTCAGTTATGTGCCATGTGGGATACACAATTAGGTGATCATGTATCTTTTGATACATGACTGACGAGGCAGATTTTTTCTGACAGTAGGTTGCCATTTCTTTCTGCAGGAGACCATTTACCATCCAAGACTATAGAACTCGGTCTGTCCTGCTATTTACCCATAGCTATTTACCATAGAAGAGGATTCATACCTTTCCCAAACGTATTAGCATGTAAGTGAATGTAATGGATTTGACTGGAATTCAAACTCAGCTCTCCCTCAGTCTGAGCCACTATCCATTACTCCACTGTGCCTACTCATATATATATATATATATATATATATATATATATATGTGTGTGTGTGTGTGTGAATATTCTCAGATAAAGTGTATCTGTAGAAGAGACAAAGAGACACAGAGGCAAGAATGTTATTGGTTTATAAAGTTTTTTTTTTAAAAATGAATATTGTTTAGATTGTGATTAGATTGTTATGGTATAAGATTGATGTATATAATGTATATATAATTTTTAAAAATGAATATTGTTTAGATCGTGATTAGATTGTTATGGTATAAGATTGATGTATATAATGTATATATAATTTTAAAAAATGAATATTGTTTAGATCGTGATTAGATTGTTATGGTATAAGATGGATGTATGTGCTCTACATCTTCAAAGGCTGAACTGATGGATTTAACTGTTTTCTTTTGATTTTTCAACATATTTGAAAATCAAATGAAAACTTTTAAATCTATCACTCACATAATGAGAATAGAAGAAAGACCTAAATATATCAAGAAGCAATGAGTCCAAAACTGACAGTCAAGTTGGGATGGAAAATCATAAAATTTGTGATACCTTAAAATTTTTATAGAGCGAAAGAAAGATAAAAGAGAGGATGGAGTAGAATATATTTATTCATTTCTTACCCTTTTTTAGGTCCTGAAACTAATCTATGTTTCTATAATATTTAGATATAGGCAATGTAGACTGGGGGAATAAGGGAAACAATGAGAAGATACAGGAGAAGGGTGAGAGGCTAGCCAAATTATGAAAAAGTGGTTCTGCCAACAGATAGAATTTCTACACTAGTCATTTCTTAATATATTTTCTTATATATAGTAATCTTGATAATTACATTACATTATTGTTTATTATAAAATGTCTGATATGAAATATGAAGGAAAATATGAAAATCAGTTGGATGTTTAAATTTATTCTGTAACCAATGTTTTCCCAATGAGAACATCTTTGAAACTGAAAAATAAAATAAATATCTTTATAATGGTAACGTTGTTACTTAGAAACACTCTAGTTAACATGAATTTTATTTTAAAATTTGAAAAAAATTAAAAATAAATATTTGTGAATAAAATAAATATTTCTGAACAATTATATTAAATTTTTGCATGGAAAAATATTAAAATAAATGTAAAATATAGGAATTTGATATAAGAAAAAAAGAAAAATTGTGTATTGATTTGTTTTTTTTATGGCTTATCAACCATTTGAAAGTTATTTAAAGCCAGGAAATATTTTTAGATTGTAAGAATCTTTTTGAGATGATAATGATTTACTGATACAAGGCCTACTAATTAACCCATAGTTGGGTAGAGAAAAGATGGATTCATACTTTTCCAACATTATTTGCATATGAGTGAATATAATGAACCTGTCTAAAATTGGAACTTGGCTCTCTGATTTCCAATTCCGAGCTGTTATCCATTACACCACCCACATATCCAAGCTTACAGCCCCTGGTATTCCCAAGATGTCACCCATTTAAGTACTGACTAGCCTCCATGTTGCTTAACTTTGGTGATTGTACAATAACCAGTGTTTTAATGTGATATGTCTGTAATCCTAAATTGTGTATATCTAATATATATTTATTATACATGACATATATGTGTATCTCATATATATATATATTTAAATATACTAGATATATATGTATAGCTATTATGTATATATATTTAAATATACATGACAAAGTGTTAATAAACGTAAATATAACTAACGTTCTTTGTCATTTTTAAGCTGCAAGCAATTCCTTACATGCGTCACATGTACGAGTGTCCGCATTTCTGCAAACAATCTTTCTTCTTTTATTACCGTAGAAATCACAGTCTTTTCATTTATTTTTCAGGTCTTATTGTAGAAAGCAGAATCTGTTTATGAAAATTCCTCAAAGAAATTACTTTATATTGTCTTCATTTATGATCAGCACCGAGGCAAATATTTAATTCTTTTCGGTCCTTTTATTTTTTATTTTTTTCTTTCCACTCTTCCCTAAAAATTCTGATCGTCCCTTTTAGCAATGACAGTGTTATTAATTTCTGAAAAGAGAAAAAGACCTGGAGATAACATGGGTGGGAGGTTTATTTAACATATGCTGCTTGTTTCAAATAAGATATAGCTCTGAGAAGCTACTGTCTTCATTTATGGTTAAAGAATATTTTCAGAAGCATTATGCAGATTGTGATTTGATTCTTTTACCATTTTTGCTGTCATTTTTTGCCACAGACTCCTGTTTAGAAAATGACATTCAAACATAATCTGTGTTCAGCACTTTACTTTGTTGGTCATGCTAGTTGTCTCCCTTTGTATTTTCTTATTTTTTTATTTCTTTTTCTCTTTCTGTTTAGTTTGGTTTTTATTTTTTTTTATATATTTTATCTCTCTTATTCCCACCCCTCATATTTTCTACTCTTTCTTTTTTTCTTTCCTCCTTTATTTATCATCCTTCTCTTTACTCTCTCATTTTACTTTCCTGTTTTGTTTCTCTTTCCATTCACTTTATCTTGATCTGTTTTACTTTAGTCTTTCTTTCTTGCCATTATTTTCTATATCTCTTTTATTTTTATCTTGCTTACCTTCTTTTTTTATTCATTTTGATTCTACTTTTTTTCCATCCACTTTATCTTTCTTTTCTTTAACCGTTTCTTACTTTCTATATCATTTCCTCTTAATTTTCATATAAACTTTCTTTCACTACTTTCTTCCTCTTTGATATCTTTTCCCCATTTTTATCTTCATTTTTAAAAGTCTACTTTCTCTCTTATCATAATATACTTTCTCCATTTTGTCTGTCATTCATTTATCTTTTTCTTTTTTTTTCATTTGCTTCCTTCATTCTTTCACTATATTTTTTTTCTTTTTCTTCATTCTATCTTTTTTCATCCATTTGTTTCTTTTGTCCCTCTTACTGTTTCTTTTTATTTTCCATTAATTCATTTTATTTACTTTAGTTTACTTTCTGCTCCTTATTAATTCTTTTCTGTATTTTTTTTTTTTAAATTCATCCAATGTCAGTCATTTTTGTCATTATTAAACTTCAGTTTTGCAAATTTTTTTTTTCTTTTAATATTCCTCATCTTTTTTCCAATTCTGTTCTGGAGCAAAAGAGTCAGAAAACAAAAGCACATAATGACGCTAACAAATATTTAGAATAAGAAGCAGTTGAGGTTTTGTTTTCCAGTTGAAGACAAACTGACAGCAAACCTGAATCAGAATACATAAAAGCTCACATAAAAAATAAAAAGTTCTAATCATTGACAAACTCAACATTGTCATTGGCCGATGTGTAGAACAAGGTGCCCTTGACTTTGTCAAAACATGCTGAATTAGGGAAATAAATTTTACTTTGCTATAACTTCAAATTTGGCTTTCTAAGTAAATTTTACAAAGTATTATTTAATTTTAGGAAAGCAATTAGCATTTTCACTGTTGGGTCTATCCTTGTAAATCATGCTATTTTCTTACAAGATATTTTATTTAAAAATACTTTACATTTTAACCTTTAACACACTGAATTCTTCACTACTTTCCTTTCCACTGTATTCTTTTTCAAGGCTCCTCTACTACACTACTTAATTTCTTTCATGGTCATTTTCTGTTGCCATAGCAGGATATGACAGCACAACTGCAAAATTCAAACGCACTATCATTCATTCATCTGATTCACTTGCAATGACAGAATAAAATTTCTGCTTTGCAAGCAAATTCACCTCCAGAATGTTAAAGGTTAAATTGCATGAATTGTGTGACTATCAATTTTTTGGTTAGTTTTTCATGTTTTAATGTTGGTTTTTATTTGACTTTTGTTAGTCAAAAGAGTACTGAAAGTAGTTAGTAGTTAAATAATAAGACTGACTTGGATCTCTTACCTTAAGGTGGCAAACAGTTGAGGAGAAAGAAAGCTCTGGATTCAAAATAAGCTTGAAGAGAAATGTTAAGGTTAATGAAAGTATTAGCCATTTCCTTATAATGAAATATTTGGTATTCATGGACTGAGCATCCAGTATGGCTTCTGGTTGAAATTTATAAAACTCTTTCTCTTAAAAAACGATTAATCAGGAAAATAGTTTTCCCAAGTCCAGTAGTTGTTATCGCTCTTTCCAGTATTGATGGATGTTTCCTTCTTAATGCATTATTTGAGGTAGTAAGCCTCATCAGGTTATGTTGCTTTAGACCAGTAGTTCCCAAACAGTGCATAAATATCACATTCTTTCTTCCAGTGTATTTGATGAACCCACACTGTTCTTGTTCTATCTCTGGCCTCATTCTGCTGCATGCTCTATTTATCAGCATTTGAATGATAAGTTTTGTTATGTGGCTCATTAGGCTGATTGTCTGGTGGAGTTCACATTCATTTGCTCAGTGCTATGAAAATAGATCTGTTTACTTTTCCAGTATATCCGCACTGTTGTAGATTTCATTTATTATTTCTGCGGCCTTGTCAATGTTGAAGTCATCTACAGCTGCCAACATCTTTATTACAATTCTGTCTGACCCTGCCACTTTGTTTCTGTTCAATATGGCCAGTGCAGCTTCCACTTCGGAAACACACTTTTTTTTAGTGATATTGGAATAAACTGACTTTACTTTTGTATTTTGGAGTAAAGAACATACATTATAATTTAATTTTTAGCAATAAATGAATAAAAGTATTTGGTCATTAAAAGGAAAGTATATTTTTAGAAGATTCTCTATACTTGAGAAAAAAGAATAAGCAATTAAAGACTAATTGTCTTGTTTTCCATTATTTCTTTTTGTTGGATGCACAGGTGGATAGTGGCTTGGAAATCAGAAAGCTGAGTTTGAATTCCAGTCAGATTCATTACATTCTCTTGCAAATACACCTGGGAAAGGTAGGAATCTATCTCTTCGCTCCAGTTATACATCAAATAGTAAAACTTGTATCTGGCTGATTGATTTGTCTGTTTAATGGCGTTTATCTTTTTCTATTGTCAAATCTGGATCGGCTATCTTTACTGGACTATGTTCCCTTGCATTTTTAATGATTTCCTCTAATTTTGAATGGTATTAAATTCAAAATTACTAGTTTATACAAATTACTAGTTTATACAAAATAGGAAATGATAGTATATCAATCATTTGGGAAAATAAGGCTATATGGCTAGACTCTAACCTGCCAACCTTTGTAACCTAAATAGAAATGTAGACTTCTGAGGATAAGCAATACAAGTTCAAGTTCTTGCATTTGCATTTTATTGGACTAGAATATTATTGTAGGATACAAAATTGAATTAACATTTCTACTTGCTTTTGATGTGATTATTTTAAATATTTACTGATTTTCAGTGACTGCCTTCTTAATTTCTGTCAAAAAAGAGTTAACATGATGTTTGGTTGTAATTCACCAAAATTAGTATCAGGGTGGATAATTTGAATATGATGTCTTTTACTTCAAACATTAAAGCAAGTACAGATCTAAATGAATACAAGTACAGAAAAATAGAATAAAGCAGTCCTATTTAGTTGTCTGTTTGTTTAATGGTATATCAACTTCATATGGGTCATTTAATGCCGAAATTAAATTTTCTTTTGAACATTAGTAATTTCTTTTACAAAAATGTATTGCTAGTAAATTTTTTCAAAAATATATTGCTGGCACTATTTTTTCCTTACAAAAATATATTGCTGGTTAAATTTTTTAATTTTTTGACAAAAACTTATTGCTGGTAATTTTTTTACAATGTAAATGTATCGCTACACTTTAATAGCATAGTGACCCCAGTTTGGGGGGTTCACTATTTGCCCATAGCTGGGATCCTAACAGGTGCTACTACCCTGAGTCTGGGTGTACCAGGGAACAACAGTAATTAAGAGGTGGTTCCACGGTCATCAAAACCTTCTGATCTGCAGTCTTGCTACCGAATTTACTTTATTCTCATGTACAGGACAAACTTGTATCTGGAAAAATAATTGTTATTCTCAAGAAATTGTTAGTGCAATATTCACTAACAAAAAAAAGAATTCTTACAATCCAAAATATTCTGGATTTAACAAAAAGCCATAAAAAAACAAATCAATCAATCAACTTCTTTTAGTAACTTTTAATCATTACTGCTTTTAGGCTGATCCACTCAAGAGGTGTTGAACTACAAAAAATGATAAATAAAATATTAACATCAGAAAAGACTCAAACATTGCATCTCCTTCTAACAGGGCTTTTTTTTCATGTAAGATGCATTAACCATTTAAGCTTTCAAAGTTGTCATGATTGGATTATTACCAATAGTTTTGGAGCCAAAATCTTTTTATTCCAAATGTATCACAAACTATTTTGATGACTAAATAGTAAAAGTTACAACCACTTGGACTCGTTTTCCTTCATCCATTTTGCTGCTTTTTATTGCCACCTTATTTTTAGTCAACCATTTCTGCAAAGTACAGGGTGCGATGTATAAATTGTCATCTAAATTATGCAAAAATGAAAATAGCACTGACATTTTAACAGATATATTTACCAAAATTACACAAAAATATCTTGAAATACTAAAGAGTAAATTTATTCAATAAAATCGCCATTGGCATTAACCACAGCCTCCAGATGACTGGAATCTCCTGCAATCATCTGGACAGTCTCCCTGTTTAAGTTGTTGAATGCTACCATAATCCTTGCCATCCATCTTTGGTGTTACAAGTTTTGTTGATATCTCACTTAACTGCAACCCACACATCATAATCGAGGGGCTTGAAGTCTGGGGAGTTATGTGGCTAGATGTAAGGGGTGATGTGGTTGCAGAAATTTTCTAACAGCCATGACAGCATTCTTCTGCATGTGTGGCACGGTGCAGAGTCCTGTTGACAAACATAGGGTCTTCCAACAGCTGCCCTCTTGATTCATGACAGCACTACCTCCTCAAGGCACTTGATGTAGGCCTCTGTGTTGAGTCTGAGGCTCTGTGGTAAAATGAATATAGGAATAATATTGCCATTACTAGTGATCACTCCAAACACCTTCGTAATCACCATTAGACTCACCCAACTCTTTCCAAATCCTCTGCATTGTCCTCAGATTGACACCCAAACACAAATGTTTTTACTGGAGATTCTGGTACGAATGCCAAGCAATACAGCATACTGTTTCCAAATTTCTGACTAAGTGAATTGCGTCATGGTGCTCTTTTTTCACAGATGGTGCCCAACTGACCCTACTGTGCAGTCAAAAAAAAATCAAAAACTATCAAAGTGAATGTGCGAAATTAGGAATAAAGAATGGTGACAATTTACCCATTGCACGCTGTATATATAAAAGCAGCTTTGATTAATACTTGAAAGTTAATTAAACAATTCCATTATAAAAAGTATATAGTCACACATCAAAGTATCGGATATATAAAATATTTAAAGCTTAAGAACAAAATAATTTCTAATGGGACAACAAACAAATTAATGTAAACTTTGTCAATTTTAGTCCTGGTTCTTTTACTTGCCTTGCTTGGGGTGATAGTGGCTTTGACTTCCTTGCTTGGGGTGATACCGATTAATAATATATATGTATATATATATATATATATATATATAATGCATGCAAAAATTTAGTTGCAAAGGATGGCTATGGTAGAACAAAAGAAGACAGACTTCCAGAGAACAGAAAATGCTGGTTTAGGTCTCATTGAATAGCTGATACCTTATTTCCAGCGCACACTTGAATGATGAATTTGCAGTTACAATAAAATTTTATTTCAATAATAAAATAATAAAAATATAATAAAATAATAAAATTATAATAATAAATAATAATAAATTTTTTTACAATAATGTTCACCCTTTACAATGCCTAAGAGCCACTTGAAGTAGAGGGTTACCGATAAAGATCCACGGTTTATGGGATATATAAGGAAGTTCAAACTGAAAACCACATGTCTAGAAAAGGTGCAAAATGTTCAAGTTAGACCCACATTTAAATCTGGATGCTACACCACACGAATGAGTCAATGTAAACTTTCCAGTTTGGGTCC